GTTTGAGGAGTTTTGAGAGTTTGAGAGGGAAGCTTTGAGAGCTTGGAGAGTTACAGTGTTTGAGCCTGCGCGGACTTGAAACTTTTTCAGAGACTTCTGTTGTCAGTGTGAGGGCTTTGAGAGTTTTAAGAGTATTGAGAGCTTGAGACTCTGAGCAAAGTGCTTGGAGCACAATTGCGGTGGACGTTGGGCCACATCCTAGATATTTACCTGGTCATAACCGGGCCTGGGACTTCTGAGGCCCATGTGTTCATCCAATGTCAGTTTGTCTAGTTAGAGCATGATTAAATAGCATTTAAAGAACATCGCTTCGCGACAAGAGAGTGTTTTTACAAACTACTTCAGAATGCGAATAGAACTCAACCTTCTTACGGCACTTGGGAGAACACATGAGAAAGCGAGAGGAAACTTCCACAACTAGGGTTTAAGACCAGGCAAGTTACAAAAGACGCCAAGGCGAAGGAATTGAATACAAGGAGCTTGAGTCATCTCAGCGCTTTGGGCCACATAAGTTTGTCAAGTTAGAGTGCGATCAAGGGTGAGAAACTACAGTGGCAACGCAAGGAAACGTGTTTAAAGTTTATCCAGAAGACTTCTTCGTACAGCTGCCCTCCTTTGTGCAAGTCTCTCGTGCAAAAAATGAGTCTATACATTTTTCCTCAACATATGTATAATAAGTAAGTTCATCATTCCAAACACCTTGTTGCAAAGGTCTCGTCCATTGAAAGGAGTCATTTTCTTTCAAAAGGATGTTTGTGTAAAGGCGAAGTGCGTTTGTTTTTGTTTAGTTCTGAACCAATTGTTTAAAATGCACCTTGCTTGGTTTGCAATGCCAGTCCTCGCAATACAGTTGGAATAGTATATAAATTGATTGAAGATTAAATAGTATATAATCAACCTAGGTAAGAAATTTGGCAACCTACTGGAGCAATAGAACAACGCCTGCAAGACTGGGGCAATCTTGTTAAGGAGACAGCAAAGAGATAAAAGCAAGAGAGGACAATCAATGTACCGGGAAAAGCAGAGCGACGAACCAAACGATGCAAATGACCAAGCAAGCCAAGAAGGGAAAAACTTCAGGCTGATTAAGTACAGGAAAGTGGGATCGATGAAAAGGATGTTGACTATTTGGAGCCGGGTGAGAAGTGGATATTGGGCTGCAGAATATGTTCAACAAGTGTGAGATGAAATGGTTCAAGCGATCGTGGCATCAAGGTGGCCTTGTGGTTTTGACAAAGTGTCCAGGCCAGTGTGAAGAGTTGTGATTGTTCTTAACGTTTTGTAGGCACCCAAATGTAGGACTCCAATCAAAAACAGGTGTTTGTCGCAAGATGGGATTTAAATAAGGAAAACTGATCTGAAGTTCATTGACCTTCAGTTGGAGCGAGGGTGTTTGAGGTTTAGGCTTTGCAGGGCGATCGCCTCGAAAGCTACACGTTCATATGGAAATGCAGCAAAACGAGCAGCATAGACATATTCACAGGTTTTGAGAAGCTACCCGCGCAAAGAATAGATTGATTAGCAAGAGAAGGAGTGAGAAGTAAAACCATGTGAATCAGGCCAATTGTAGGAATCTGCCCGCGACGATTCCCTCTCTCCGTTTCATTTGATGCATTCATCCTTTTTGCGCCGACTTTTTGACTTGCAGATTGCCTTCGCAGCTCAATCAGCAGCATAGCCTTTTACCCCAGCCTTTTGCATCAAGAATTGCCTATATTTGCTTCGTTTTGTTTTGGATCAAACACTCTTCGGATGAAGGGAGTTCAAAAGGACTCTGAGGATCTTTGAGGTGAATAGAGCTTCTCAGTTCAACCCCTTTGGGATGCAGAACGGTTTCAAACAAATCCGGGGCGACGTGACGACATGGACTTGAAGGTTCAAAGGAACTTGGCGAGAAGACACGTCAGACTGTGGAAAAATGAAAGTTGTGAATGACAAGTTGTCAAAAAATAGCAGGTTGGTCGCGGCACACCCTCCGGGCAACGAGAAAACACAATGGCGCTGGTAAGGTTGTTTGATGCAAACCTGGGTCTCAGAAGTCCGAGGCGGGTTATGAGATGAATTTTGGAAGAGTGACAGTGGTGGATGGCAGGCAAAATGCAGTTGTTTTATGGCAAAGCTGTTGGACAACAACCTTGGGCTTAAACGCCCGAGTCAGGGTTATCTAGATGCCAGACAGCCAATTGGCAGGTCTAGATGCCAAACAGCCGTGAAGCAGAGTCTTCCTTCCAAATAGAGTTTGCAGGCGACCTTCCAGCAAAAGCGTCAGGAGGGCACCTGTAGACATATATTGACCACGATCGAATCAGAATAGCGAGCCGCTGGTCAATGATCGACAAGATCGGTTGACGCATATGGTGTGTGGAAAAAAACTGTGTATTTTTATGCGCGCCAAATGGGCTCACGGGGACGGCCCATGGTGTGGTGAGGATCGAAGCATATACGTTGTTATAGGTTAGTTGAGAGTTCCGAGTGTTTTCTGAACGCCGCAGCCATATATGGTCATGTGGTCTGGAGCAAGTGTTGGAGGAGGTGCCCACTGACTTTCGCTTAGGAGTTTTTTGAGTTTCTGGTTTTTTGAGCTTTCGGGGTTTAAATTTTGAGGAAATTTCAACGAACCCCTACTAGCAAGGTTGTCAATAGGAAGACGTTGTTCGATTTGTTGGAGAGTTAAGTCTGAGTGTTTTGAGAGACTGAACCTTCGTTTGACAGGGTGAATCCTCATCCTTTTCAGGAGCCAGTCAGCCCCTCAAATAATTACTCTCAATCCCAAAACTAAAACTCTCCATTCAGAACCCTCAAACTTTCAATCCCAAAAAATTCCAGAACCAGAAACTCTCCAAACTCTTGAAACCCTCAAACTTTCAACGCAGACATTTCAAGAAACCCGAAGCAGCTGCACCACCTCCTGCTGCGCCAAAGGCGCCACCAGGCCTGTTCGAGACTTGCGCATAAGCTAGGTTTGAGAGACTTAATTGCGGGTTTTGAGAGAGTTGCGCGTGAGAGTTTGAGAGAGATTCTGAGCGCGTTGGAAATGTAGTATACTAGCTTTTCTTGACAGTTTGGAGAGATCTATGCACGGCTCAGCTAGGCCATCGCAAGCAGTGTGGCAATATGCCACGATGTCCTGTCGAAAGTGAGGAAGCTCACGAACCCACTGGCAATGTTGTTGTTGGTGGCGGTGGCGTTGGTGGTGGTGGTCGTGTATACACTCGCAAGATTAGTTTATTATTCCAAACAAGCTTTATTATTGGAAATATTTTCTATTTTAGTTTTGTCATTTTTTAAAGTTTATTTGTTTTCACAAAATTTATGAGTTTCACGCATTTTATCTTAAAGGATTCTTATGGAATCCATGTCATCCGGCAGGGCGCCCTTCCAACGGCCCGCGTCAGCAGGTGAATCACCATGCAAGCCCCGACTTTTCTTGCGATGGCGCCGCGTGCACCTATTCCACGGCAGCAGTTCTGGGTTCGGCTCGCTCGAGAATCCAGCCATCATCTCCAGCGCGTCGTCCGGCACGTCCGGCATGCCAGTCTCATCCTCCTCCGAGGTAGTGCCCTTGACCTTCGCCGTCTTTCTGGGTTCCTTAGTCTCCTTCTTGTAGGGACATTCACGCGACATGTGGCCCTGTCCACAGATGAAGCATCGACCAGACTTCTCCAACTGGCCCCATGAGTGTGCGTAGGAGCAAGTGTCTGCCCTCCTGCGCCCAGTCGCTGTGCCCCAGTAAACTGGGGCTTTCTTCTCCTTCTCCTTCCGGTTGGCTCAGCCGCAGGTCGGTCAGCTGGAAGTCCAGGAGGTCGCTCTACCCCTCCACCACCACTCGATGGACCAGGGCCCTCACCCAGACTCGCTCCCGCCTCTCTCTTCGCCTGCTCCGCTGCAGCTGCACTAGCCGCCGACGCAAACGACGATGCATCTTGATCTCCTTGGCAAAGTTGGCCTCGGCCTCCTTGAGAATTCGCTGACGGATCTTGCACTTCCGTCACCGGCCATCTGCTTCACTGGCGCACTCCAGAAGAGACTCACCTCTGCTCCCGGCGAAGCGTAGGGATCCAACACTCTTGGATGCACATCCCCCACAAGACCTCCCATTCCGGCCTCCGGCGTACAGACAGCAGTTCTCACACTTCCTGGGTTCAGTTCACACCTGTGGTGTGAGGCGACATCACCATCCCTTGCCCTTGCCGATCTGCAGGAGGATGCCCTCCAGAAATTCCATGATCGTGGGGCCGAAGGAGCGGATCAAGTAGTCCCGGGGCCGTCTGACCACCTCTCAGAGCAGCTTGTAGGGCTTCAAGACCATGTCGCACCGTGTCCTGGAGTTGACCCAGACCCAACTGCACAGGACGCTGGTCCATGCCTGAGCCCTGATCACCTCCTGCTAATCGACGTTCTTGGCCATCTCCTTGTTGATCCACACGTATTCGTCGAACTCCTGGATCCCCCGTAGTTGGTGCCGAAGAAGCCCTCTGAAACCTTCGGCCTCACGAACCTCTCTCGATCGCATCCGCCGGCGCCGCTTATCCATGGGAACCAACACCACGCCGCTCACTCAGCTGGTCGTGGGTGGACTTCAACCCAACAAAAAACCAACCTTGGGGCTCATAACCTGTGGTTGTGACCTTGCACCGGTCTTTTCTCGCTTGTGCCTTGAGCCAAAGCCAAATGTTCGCGCGCGTCATCCTATGCAGGGGCGCTTGGCTTTCCCCAAAAGCATGGAATCTGGAAACTTGGTACACTTCTCAATGTGTGCTCTTGATGAATATGTAGTGTGATCCTTTGACCGCAAAAGCAAGTGGGGCTTACGTACCATATTTTATTGTCTTACGTGGCACGGCTATACAAAAGTAGTAAAACCAGCGCGAGAAGGGGTTGCAAGCAAGTCCAATGAACATGTCCGTTGTGGTGTAACTGTCTGTCTGCCTTTGAAAGGAACGACGTTCCGTTCGCCTACATAAATAGCCTGCTGAATCGACAGCATGCAAGTCACTGGCCTCGCACATGATATCAATATTCCTGGAGCATTTCGCAACGCTCTCCTGAGCCAAACACGATGATATGATCACGATACGACATGTGCAAGGAAAAGGTGTCCTCGAAAGCTGTCTGGAACAGCATACACTCGAGGCGTTCTTCAATCTGGGGAACCTACAGCGCATGAGCCAAACTGAAATGTCCTCGAAACCTACTTTAAGGGAGACAAGGAATGTTTGCGCGGCATCTACCTGGACAGCTATCTGAGAGGCCTGAGACCTTAGGCCTTGAGTCTTGAATGGCCTTGCTGCCAGAAAATGTTCACACTAAAACCCAGCAATGGCCATTGTCAGCTCATCACACACGTTTGTCGCGCAGACTTTTAAGTGTCCACATTGGCAGCATAGCAGCACTGATTCTCCACTGCACCATCGCGCCTTGAGTATTTCATAGACCAATCGATGCAACCATGGATCTTTCAGTTTCTTCAAGGCACCCTGGCACATCGGCACGTCACTCAAAACCTTCAAGGCATAAGTGTCTGATGTTTTCTTTCTGGAGACAAATTTTTCCAACAACATGCCCCCGCAGCCCTGCTTCTGCAGAGGAAGCAAGGCAAGCGCATGCCAGGAAAACCGCGCCGTGTGCTTTAACGTAATTGGAGATTCCTTTCCTTACAACAGTGAGTGGCCGGAGACATGGTCAACACAACAAATGCTGTTAGTTTGCCTGGAAACGTGTGTGTATGTATGCAGCAGGCACGAGGGTGCAGTGGGGAGCGTATGATCAGCTGCCAATGAAAAAAATATAATTCATTTAATATCCGCTGTTCCTTATCAGGGTTTTACTTCCGTGAGGTGTGCTACTGCTGCTGCTGCTACTACCACTACTGCTACTACTACTGCTACGACTCCTACTCCTACTCCTACCACTACAACAACAACAACAACAACTACTACTACTACTACTACTACTACCACTACCACTACGACGACGACGACGACTACTACTACTACCACTCCTGCTGCTACTACGACCGCCACCACTACCTCTACCACTACCACTACTACTACTATTCCTCCTCCTACCACTACTACTACTACTACCACTACTACTACTACTACTACCACTACTACTACTACTACTACTAACTACTACTACTACTACTACCACTACCACTACCACTACCACTACTACTACTACTACTACTACTACCACGACTACGACGACTACTACTACTACTACTGCTGCTGCTGCTGCTACTGCTACTGCAACGACGACGACGACGACCGCCCTGCTACCAGTGCCACTACTACCACTGCCACCGCCACCACCACCATGACTTTAGATCTTTCTGGACTTCTAGATCTTTTTGGACCTCAAGAATCAAATGGATCTCAAGGCCTCTGGATCTGGAGCTCTAGATCTCTAGGACCTCTAGATCTTTAGAGTTTCTGCCTCTACGTGTTTTGGTGGTCTCAAGCCCTTGTTTGTGGCAGGCGCAGGGGTCGGAACAGTCTTACTTCGATGCGCAGATTTCGCTGCAGCTGTCTTTGGAACAAGACCGAAAACAAGAAGAGGGAAAGGGGACGACGCGCAGATTGCTGAAGACCCACAATCAAAAGAGACCAGGAGCTGAGCTACGCTTGCGATAGGTGCAATTGTCTAGACAGCGGAGTCGTCTTCACCAAAGAAGCTCTTGACACAACTGCACGCTCCGCATTTGCAGAGCCTATATATGTAAAGTAATAAAGGGGAGCGCTGGCGGCGGCGTGACAAGTCAAAGAAAATGCTGCTATCCTGCGCAGTGCAGAATACGGGTTGCGGGGCAAGAAGAGGATCTCAGCTGAGCTAAGGCTGGACGGGGCGAGCGGGACCTTCCCGAACAAGGAATGTCATGTGGATTTGCAAGACACGAAGACGCTCAGAAAAGGTGGGGTTGGAGGCGGGTTACAGCTTCTTGCCTCCAAGAAAGAAGGAAGCCAAACCGCAGTCTCCACGCTGGCATCCAGACATGGATTGTTGGCGCCAAGTTTGGGCTGCGCCAGGTTAACCTGGACATACGTGGACATCCGCATGAGCATTGGAGAATAACTATAATGTAGTAGGACACCGATGAGTTGAGTCGTCGTCGTCGTCGTCGTAGAAGTAGTAGCAATAGTAGCAGGCAGTAGGCATTTAGTTAGTCAGTAAGGTAGTGAGTTAGTTAGTTAGTTATTTAGTTAGTTAGTAGTTAGTAGTTATAGTAGTAGTAGTAGTAGTAGCAGCAGTGGTAATAGTAGCAGTAGTAGTAGTAGTAAATAGGAATAGTAATAGTACTAATAGTAGGAGTGGTAGTAGTAAAAAAGTGCAGTAGAAGTAGAAGTAGAAGAAGTATATAGTAGTAGTCGAAGCGGTAAAATAATAGTAGTAGTACTAGTAATACTACTAGTAGTAGTAGTAGTAGTAGTAGT